AATTTTCCAAAGAGGTTTTACATCTCATGGGCATAATTTTCCAAAGAGGTTTTACATCCCACTTTCCAAAGAGGTGTTGCAACCCACAGACATAATTTTCCACAGAGGTTTTGCATCCCATGGGCACCACACCACCTCAGCAAGACTGAAGTGATGCTCCTGTGGCTTGTTCCTCATGGATGGCAGCATTTCCCCTGGGCCATGGAAAGCCAGTCTCCAGCAGGATATTGGTTGGAGACAACACTCTGAGGCCCAGGATGTGATTTTTGGGGTGTCCTGTGCGGGGGCCAGGAGTTGGACTCCGATCCTTGTGGGATCTTTGGGATATTCTGTGAGATGGACCAGCGTCTCCATTCCTGCCCTGAACAGGTTTTCCTGGTGGTGCCTTCCCACCTGGCTCTCCCACCTGCACCTGCAGCATCATCTTTCTGCCAGAAAAGGGCGAGAGGTGGAAAATTTCATTCATTAAAGAGCTTCCAGCTTCATCCAAGCGGGGTGAAGTGAGACCAGGACACGGGTTTCCTGCCATCTGGGAGCAGCTAATTTAGCAAATGGAGTCATTTTGATCCCAGCAGTGATGGGAGTTGATTGGTGCCTGAACTGGCTCTTGGGTGGACAATGAGCCAGCACAGACGAAGAGTGGGAAACAACAGGGCCAGTGTGTGAGCAGCCACGGGGGGATGCAGAGCTCACCACTGGGGCCGTGTTTTGCTCAGGATCAGCCTCCTGGTGCAGCCTCCCCTCCACAATGACTCGATTATGCCACGACAGGCCCGGGCTTGCGAAGCCAGTCCCTCTTCCAGAGGCGTTTTGCCAGCGAGAAAAAGCCATCCTTGTCTCGGCCAGAGGGGAAAAGAGCCCTTGGCAGCTGGAGGGGTCTTTTACTACAGGCTGGGAAAAGCCATTGTGAGGGGAAGGAGGAAGGGAGAAAGGACAGAAGCCACGCTTGGGCAGGCAGCAAGTGTGACTCGGGGGATGGCCTGGCCGTGCTTTTGGCAGCCCTTGCTCTGAGCAGCTTCCCAGGGCTCCCAGGAACACTCCTGGCTGCCCAGTCAGCACCCACTGGGAGCACAGGAGGCAGCACTTGGGGTTGGGTGGTGTCACCCATCCTCAGCTCCCTCTGGGAATCCCAGCCTGGCTGTGTGTGAGCCTCTCTGTGCCTTCAATGTGGGGCCAGGAGCAGCTGATCCACCCTTAAACCCCTGAGCTGGGGCTCCAGTCAAAGGGGGACCTTCATTAAAGGCACAGAAATTTAGCAGGAAAAAAACCCCCTTGAGTTCCAGCTGGTCCTCAGAGATCACAGGGTGCAGCTGGGCTTAATTTCTGATTATAACCAACTGAGCACTGTCAGTCTGGTTGGGTTCTATAAAAGCACAGATTCACATATAATTCAATTTACCAACCCAGGACTGCAGGGCTGGTCATGTTCAATAAGGATTTGCATGATCCAGACTCACAAATGTGAGTCTGGATCATGTGTTTTCCCTCTCTCTGACTTTTCTGGCTCCCCCCTCTTTTACATTATAAATTTTTGGGCTCCAACCACGTGTTATAGGTTGGATTTGGGGGCTTTGGTCATACCTGTATCACAGACCTCGTGTTCTTCCTCATTTCTAGCCTCAGGGATGTGAAAGTTAAAATGTAAATGGGGCCTAATGAGGGTCTGGGTTACTTCTGGTGGGAATTTACAGCTGCCAAAAAAAAGGTGGAATAAACACTCTGTTCCTCCTCCACGTGCTGAGGTGGCAGTAGAGGCTGGCTGACCTTCTCCAGGGAGCCCACACACACATCCTCATCTCCTGAGCGGAGCAGATTTATAACAAGGCTTGTTTTTCAGGATGACAACTCACACACTTCCAGGGTGCTGGTTCCTGGGAAGGGACACCTGGATGAACTGGCTCGTTCCTGAGGGTGCTGCTGCCAGCCAGGCTGGGACTGAGCCCAGAGAGCAAGAGGGGTCCCACAGACACCTCCATGGTCCATCTCCACGGCAGCAGGTGCCCCGAGGGATTGGCACATTCCCAACACCCACAGAATGGGATGTTCTGGATGCTGAGAGCAGGTCAGGGTGTGGATTCCTCTGGGGGGGTCATTTCCCTGGGATCAGAGCATTCCAATGGACAGGAGGGCTAAGATCTCCCAGGAAGGGACCGTTTTCCCCAGTTTTCTGCCTCCCAGTTGCACAGCCTGGAAACCAGTGCAAAGTGGGGAGAACAGTTCCAGCAGTTTCCTTTTTTTAACCAAGAAGCTGAACCTCTGTCCATGTCCCTCCCTGCCCACCAGAAAGGGTCTCATCCCAGTGACACACACACACAAGTCACGTTTTTGGCCTCACAAAGGAGCCTCAGTGCCCCGAGACAAGGTCCCAGTGCCCGGGAGCCTCGACGAGAGGGGAAAAGAGGAAGGAGAGCCCAGAGGTCACCATTATCAGGGGTTGCTATTTGGCCTCTGTGGTCCCCGTTGCCCTGTGAGCAATCCAGTGGCATTCAGGGAAGCTGAAGTCAGAAATGAGCTGGCTCCTGCTGCCAGCTCCCTGGGTATTCCCCGAATAGACACGGAATTCGCTGAGTCTTATTATAGTTATAAAACTGCTATTTTTGACACTAGGGGCAGACTGGGGGAGAAGGAGGGGGGGGGTGTCACTGGCTGTGTCCTGGCTTTTTCTCTCTCTCTCAGACAGCTGGCTTTGTTTTCTCACCCAGCATTCATGAAAGGTGCCAGATTGAGGGCATTGCTTTGGGTTAATTCCTGTCTTTTATGGGAAGCAACAGATATTCCACGTGAGTTTGTTAAAGGCCTCTGAATTTACACTTCGGATGGCAAAATGGGCTTTATTTGTCTGAAGTGCACGGCGTGGCTACAGCACACCTGGCCCCCAGTTTATCCCAGTGGGAGGTTTTGGTGTCACCACAGATGCTGGGATGAGAGTGGGGGACTCACCCTGGGGACACTGTGCCCTCCTGACCCCAAAGCACCCCTGAGTCAGGGGCTTTTAGGGATAACACATGTGGCTGAGCCTCACCAGCCTCAGATGCTCAGTGCTTTGTGGCTTGTTCCACTATTTTGGCAGCTTTTATGAACTTTTATGAACTCAGCCCCCAAATCAGGACCTTTAGTGGTGTTTGGGTACTGAGGGATGTCTTAAATTGCTGCTGGTCTCCCTGTACCACACCTCAAATCCTGGGTTCAGTTTTGGACTCCTTACAAGAAGAAGGACATTGAGGGGCTGGAGTTTGTCCAGAGGAGGGAATGGAGCTGGGGAAGGGGCTGGAGCAGCTGAGGGGGCTGGAGGGGCTCAGCCTGGAGAAAAGGAGGCTCAGGGGGGACCTTCTACAACTCCCTGACAGGAGGGGGGAGCCGGGGGGGGGTGTTGGGCTCTGCTCCCGGGGAATAAGAGACAGGACAAGGGGAAACAGCCTCAGGTTGCACCAGGGCAGGTTTAGATTGGATATGAGGAAAAACTTCTTCACCGAAAGGGTGGTCAGGCATTGGAAGGGGCTGCCCAGGGCAGTGATGGAAACACCATCCCTGGAAGTGCCCGAAACTCCTGTGGATGTGGCACTGGGGGGCACGGTTTCGTGGCGAGCTCTGTGCCGGGTTCATGGTTGCACTGGATGATCTCGGGAGCGCTTTTCCCACCGCAAGGACTCCACGACTCCATCCCATGAACTCCCCCGCGCTGCCAAGCCCCGGGTGCGCATCCAGGAGGGCAAAGGCGCGGGGGAACAGACCCAGGGATCGGGCAGCGGGGCCGGACGCTGCGGGCATGGGCAGCGAGACCCGGGCGGGGCGAAGGGCGGGGATTCCCCCGCGTCACAGGGAGGGGTTTCCCCGGCCGCCCGGGCCCAGCGCCCGCCGGGGCGCGGCGGTGCGGGCAGTCGGGGCGGGAGCGGGGCCGGGAGCGGAGCTCCGCGGAGCCATGACCTCCCGCAGGTAAGGAGCGAGTCGTATCGACCTGGCAGCCCCATCCCATCCTATTCCATCCCCTCCCGACCTGTCCCGTCCCATCCCGTCCCGTCCCGTCCCAACCCGCGGGGACGCGGCCACCGGAGCGCCCGCGGGTCCCGGGCACCGCTTCCACCGGCTCCGGCTCCAGCTCGGACCTGCCCTCGGCCCCCGCGTGTGCCCCTCGGCTCGCCCTGTGCCCCTCGGCTCGCCCTGTGCCCGTGTCCCCGTGTCCCTTGCCGTGCCGCCGGCTGCGCGGTGCCGGAGCTCGGAGCTCCGGTGGTCGGGATAAAGTCGCACCTCCCGCGCCACC